AATCTTGAGGGGTAGGGAAGGCTTGCAGGCTATCCGAATAAATATATCGATACGGACTCCGAGTTAAGTTCTAGGGCAAAAGGTTGGCTGATCTCGGCCAATAGGGATACCGAACGGTGTTGTTTTTCAAGACCGCACGCACATCGGAAATCCTCGCTGCATGACCGTCGAGCCGGCATCGCCTGCCCGATTTTGTTGTCCTGCCACTTTGATCGGCGGACCCACCTCGGTCTTGGTGGACCTTTATGTATGCCTGCGGGGCCGTGACCATCGGGAAGAAGAGTGGGGACAGACAGCCGAAGAACGTTGAACATTGTGGTAGATGTTGAATTGTAGGAACCGGTGTTTTTCAAACTACATCTGTCTCCTCTTGAACACTGAGAATATGGCACTTTCCGAAACGATATCGGAACTATTCAGAATAGTTGATATCAAGAGCAGTGAAGATATGCGCGCTTGAGTGGTTGGTTCTGCATCCGGACAATTTGGTGCGGTTGGTTCCAACAACATGCAGGCTGTACACACTGCATAAGTAGGTTTCCATTTGGCAGCGGAGCAGGGCACCGGAAGCTGAAGCATCTGTGATTGAACAATTAGCCGCCCACAGTCCAATGTACTGTGAGTTATGAAGACACTCTTCGTGTTCATCTTCCAATACCGTGACCCCATGTCAGCTATCTCTTCGACGTTATGATTAACGAGTTGTGCTTGGTTGTGAGCAGTGACAGTATGGTGTTGCAACCGAAGAGTGTTTACCCAGGTGATGACTAGCCGACTGTCTGTCGGAAATGAAGCTCTGTCTTGGGTGGTTTAGGCGATTCACCGAGAACACCTCTTGTTGGATCCAGGGTAGGTGGAATTGTCTGATCAAGAAGTCTCCGGGCAGAGTGGCTGGTCTAAAGAAGGCGTGGTCCATAAACGTGTAGTGAGGGACGTTGATTTCAGCCCTGCGCAAACATAGCAGACTGAACATGTATCATATTCATGGCCTTAGGCTGAACAGAGGTTTCTGGATTAGAGATACAGACGAACAGTGTAGCCTTCCATCCTTATCGGTTGTTGGCTACAACTTGGTATATCGTAGCCGCCATTGCCCGACTGGAAATGGGTAATATCTCGCCGTATCATGGATGTTCTCATCCTAGCGGCATCTCTCGTGATCACTGATCAGTAAACAGACATGTCAGACTCCAGAACACTGAGCAATATCTCTGCCCATAGTACCTTACGGCTAGGGTCTAGGACCTAATCCCTTCACCACGACCGTGCTTGATAGAGCTGTAAGTTGACCAAGTCAGGGGTAGTGGCGCAAGCAACAGCCGCGCTCACCATGCGTAAGAGTGGTTCTATAACATCAGCTCAGGAGTTTGGTCCAATGATATGGGTTCCCATCATTGCCCTGGCGTCTAGCACGTCTGCTTGTTGGCTGTTGGCCGGACTGTGCCTTCGATTGACCGGGAGTTCTGTTGATATCTGGGGTTTGGTATCACCAGCTGGGCAAGACACTCAACAAATGATAGCGCTTGCAGGAGGCCCATCATATCACTCTGCACGTCAATCCTCCCGGTGCCTGGAATGCCGTTAGACTCTGGGAGAGATGCGTCGTGATGAAAAAGTTGGATATCTGAAGACTTCCTGGATGACAACTGAAATTTGATGTGTACTATACCGGTAAGGTTGAAGTGTTGTCGGCTGGAGGTATCCACTCGGGCAGTTTTCCAGGTCCCATGTTCCCAACAGCTCCATGTTCCGTGTGTGGCACACCAATGTCGCCGTAAACTGTTCGATCAAAATGAACGAACCCTTGAAGTGTTTGGATTTAGAGATCTCAGGAAGTCCGTTTCGATGAGAAGGGATCGCATCGTTTTGGCTCGATTTACCCTCACAGAGGATGTTCCAGTACTTCCGGTAAAGGTCATCGGAAAATGAAGTTATAAGCTGTCCAAGACGCTTACCGAGGTGAACAAGCGAAGGTCCTTGGCAAAGTCAGTACTAACAACAGGTGATAGAAGGAGACGTCTGAACGGCGATAGCTATCAGTAGCAGAAGGTTGCGCAGTTGCACTAAGAGATTGCTAGAGGTACCCAGGTACCTACGCACGAACTACGTCAAAGCTCTCCCCGCATGTGCCCCACCACGTTAGGGCAATCCAGTGCAGGTATTGACAGCATTGTGTGGATCTTAAGCGAATGAAAAGAAAAAGCGAACGCCAACGCGCAGTCGAACCAACAGAAGATTTGAATGAGGCTATGAGCCTTGCGGAAAGTGGCGGCCTGGCCTGCGCCTAGCACCTTTGCACCTTCCCGACGACGAAACAGGCGCGCGGACATGGTCTGGTCGTCTAATGACCAGTCATAATGAGACCCAGCCCTTCTCCCGTCATCTCGTTTCCGTGCATCAAACTTTTGTCACTTTTTTGCTGCTGCCTCGACTCTCGAATCGACCTTGTCCCTGTCCACTCACTGTGCTTTTCCTTGGAGTCGACCACTGTAGACACCGCGGGGACCCTTTTAGGCGCATATCATATCCGTCTTCCTCAACTCAAGTGAAGCTGTCTTCAAGCCGTTCAGCCCACACTACGGCTGGCCGTTTGAGGGACATGGATACCTACAAGTCGTTACTTTCTTCTTTCTCCCTCCCAAGGGTGTTGTTTGCTGTGCTGGATAGTCCTCATATCCTCAGCGGTCGTTGAGGTCATTTTGATGACCTCCAGTATCTTTCTCACACCTTGCCCTTGATACGAAGATGGAAAACCCCGCCGAAAAGGACGGCGACCGAAGTGGAAAGGCGTGAGTGAGGCAAGGACGGCCAAGACGATGAAGGTGTTGTGTCATTGTCCACATGGCGCCGTTGATTCGCTCGACGAGGTGTCCAAATCTGCCCCCTGCAGCATTGCTACAATCCTGCCCCGTTAATCGACTAAACCCCAATGTCCCAAACCACCAGCACCCATGCTTTCTTCTCCCCCGTTCATTTCATTCCTCGTTCAAGCTAACGCGTGGGCAAATGCAGATTTTAGATCAGTGACCGCTGCTTTTGTTGACCTGGCCATCCCTAACAACGTGGATGGCCGGTGTGTGAGAACCAATTTCATTCAACCACATCTTTTGCATACCATCGCCAAAGTCCAGCAACCAGACAAACTAAGCGCCCTAGCCAGGAGAGACGCGCTCAGCTCATACCACGTAGCCTGTGAGTTGCTCGTTGGGGTCAAGACGACCTAGACACGCCTCTAGGTTCTAGGTCTAGCCACTACCACCGCCGCCGGGTACCTATCGTCTTGCTGTACGACACGAAGTGGGCTGCCAGCGGATGGGGTTGCACTCTCCAGGCCTGGCTTGAGGCACGGTCTGCGCATCTCGACCCGAATGTTCTCGCAGTCTAGAGTGTATCGTTGTCACCGATGTGATATCCAATTCTCGATTACTCAAGATGGAGATCACGGTGGCATGGCACAGTTGAAGGGTTAGTACGCAGCTCGTTATCACTCGTTGACCAAGCCCTATGGGACAGAAAACAATATAGCCTAGCACAAGTAGGACGCCAGCATCGTTTTCATCGCTCAAGCCTCTCCGTCTTCACTCTAGCTGGGATATTTCTCTCCTTGGTGAGTTCTCTTTCACAGACCCAGCGTCCTTCAGTGGAGGCCCAAAGTTGACTGGAGCCAAGAACAATCATCGATAACTTTTCTTGTTGTCCATTTACAGCTTCCCCACTAACCCTGAATTCAGCATGCATTTCCGTGCACCATGTACACCGTGGCATAAAACTTTACCTGTGTGCCTCATCTTGAGAGACGTGTTGGTGTGCTACGCTCCCATGTACAAGTATTTGACATCGAGCTGACCAGTACCAGCCGACATCCACTCTCCAGCCCCAGTAGGGCCTTCACAACCTCCGCTTGACTACTGGCTATCTTATTGAGCTTGCGTATGCATTGGTTCGCGAAGGACAAATGGTACACATGTATCGCTTGCTGCGTTCACACCCATCCACGATCTATCCCCAATTGCCCAAGACAGAGTTCCTCCGTCCCCTTGACCAAACCTATGGACCCCTGTACCTACATATGCCCCCTAGCCTCTAACCACAGGCCCTTTTGTGATGTCCTTGCCCCTTGTCTTTCATTTTTGTCCTGTCTCCGACCCTGATCCCAGGCCTTCTTGAACGGTTCAAGCTAGGCCGGCTACCCACTCATGCATCTCCCCTTGACTCCCATACTCTAATTCCTTCTGCTGTGCGCCAAGGTACGCTCATGTGGGTGGTCAAGAGCTTCTCCCTTCGCCTTACATAGATGACCCTCGAGTACCCACATGGGAGACTGTGGGGATGTACTGCCTCCGAAAGTTATAAGCCATCCTCCTCCCGGCCCATGCCATATGCTGGGTTGAGGCTGAGGGATATCTTTACATTCCCAAACTTAGAACGCAAACTATCTGGCAACCTAGATCCTCGATCACGCTAAAGTCAAGTCAACCACAAGACGTCAGTCAGTCGATCATCTCATATAAGTCGAACACTTAACTCCGAATCCTTACGCGACATCTTGGCCACCACCATCAAAGCCTTCGCTTCGGCACTATAGGAAATATTGGATCGCCAACAACGTATGTGGAGCTTATAACTTTTTTACTTTCTTATGTCTCTGTCTCCAACATTTCAAAATGGCCTTTCAATATTCACCTTCGAGTTTCGACGAAGCTTACTTAGACAACATCAGTTCAAACCAACTCAGCAACCCCTCTTCAACCGAGACCCTGATTCAGGCATTGCAACCTGTCCAGTCTGTAGGAAATCAACAGCTGTTTGGGACAGCTCTATACAGCAACCTGCAAAACCAGTCACTCTCCCCGGTCCGATCGCAAAGCCTACCTGAAGAAAACTGCCACGACATCAATCTCTTCCAGACCCACGTTGAAGAATTACCTCGAACCAGTCTCGCATCGGATTCCTATCCGGCCCCGGGTCCTCCCTTATCAGAAACTAAAGAGTCGAGGATCATGAGGTATACTTCACACAACTCAGCTTATCGACCATCGAACCACACACTTACCTGAAGCCCTCCTAGTACACTCGCCTTACAACAATACGACTCCAATTTGGCTATGGGTTCGCGATCATCTTTTTCATGGCCAGGTACGTCACCAAAACCAGATCTTGATCGGACAGGCCAGCTCACAATCGAACAGTCTTGGACTCAGGATCCGGTCTTATGAGCCCTGAACTCGGCTCTTACGGTTCAGATAGCAGCTTCACAGGGTCGAGGTCCGGAACGGCGAGCCCACCCAGAACATCACTTAGTGCGGAGCAACGCGAGCTCAAGAGACAACGAGACCAAGCCCGGCGTAATTCGAAAATGCATGTCAGGGGCGGCCGGGCAGGAAGCAGCTCCTCATCTGGTGTCTATTCACCACCTCCTTCGTTGGCAGTCATGTCATCAGGCGCTCCTAGCATGCCTGTCTACACAAGCGCTGGCCCTGTCTCGTTGCTAACTGAACCTCACGCCACCCATTACCATGCACAATTTTCGCCACCTCTTTCAGACCACCATCACAACCACCACAGTCAGTCCAGCATGTATCATAACCCATATCCCACACCAACGTACATCAACGATTATGGCTATCCTGCATCGGCCACTTCAAGCTTGCCCTCACACTACGGGTAAGTTTTGCTCTATACCATCCTGGAGTTAACACAACAGTCGTACTAACATGGTTTTCTACAGTCGCCCAATGTCTGACCCAAGTCTCATGTACTCAATTTCACCTCCAGCGATGGGAGGTAGCCCTCAGGATACCGCCGGGCAAGTCAGAGTCGTACAACCCAGGCCGAAGCCACAATGCTGGGAACATGGATGCAACGGCCGTCAATTCTCGACCTTCAGCAACCTTCTACGTCATCAGAGAGAGAAGTCGGGCCAAGCGACAAAGGCAACATGTCCGAACTGCCACGCCGAGTTTACAAGGACTACTGCACGAAATGGGCATCTATTGCATGACAAGTGCAAGCAGAAACGGATCGACAGTTAAGTAACGAGAACTGGGATCACGAGAAAAAAAAAGAAGGAAAAACAAAATAAACGAGCCATAAGGAATTAGAGGGTAAAACCGGCAGGTCATGATATTCGTTTCTTATACAAGTATTGCATATATACCTTTTTGGGGGCTGAAATGGGATTTGGGACAGAGAAATCTCGGCATCGGACATAACGGAACACGCTGGGAAGGATATTGGGAGCTATTTCGAAGATTTTGTTTGGTGGAACATGTTTTACTGAACGAAAATTTGATAACAAGGTCGATGGATCCTATGAAATGGCAAGACATAATTCACAAACATCTGGGCTTCCAAAACATCCAAAACCAGATCGGTCTCTTGATCCGATATTCTTTACCTAAAACCAGGAAACCGATGGAGAATGCTCCCCTACACCCAGTTTTCCCTATCCGTCCTTACACATATACCCGTCTTCCCGGATCGGGGATTTTCAATTATGCTTAATCAGTCACTCCCTTCCCGGTGCAATTATTGAAAGCTTGGCCCTGTAGCAATCTGCTGTGGCGTCCCCCCTCTTACAATGTAATTAAGTTCGGGCAAGTAATCCCACTACATTACCCTGAAGAGGGGGATATACTCGGGCTTCTATCCTCTTACAATCGCAAAAGAGACCGGGGCGGGGTCCTGAAACGGACCTGACTAGCGAGCCGAGCGGTGATGAGCAGTCAGATGAGAAAAGAAGAGGCGAAGGATGGGAGGGGACATGCCGCACCGCGCATGGAATGGCATCGCATGGGGGTACACCACCAGAGAAGATACCTTGGATATGTACCTGGACCGGGTTATTACACATCACATCACTTCCCTTAGGAGCGGGCATGTATGCGCCATCCCATCTTTATTCACCGAGTGTACTCTGAGATTTGTATCAGTGTAGCAGAGATGTGAAGAGAGGGTAGGTATCACATGTACCTACCCAAACCTCGCCGACCTGAACCCTTGGAAATCCCATTTAGGTCCCCAGGCCAGGGTGCCAGGTAAGGCTGGGCTGGTATGGTAGAGCTGGCAATGACAACCAACGGGCAGTCTCGGGCAACTCATTTATGTATCTACCCTTGAGGCTGAGGGGCACGGCGCAAACGGTACAACAAATGAGGAAGGGGGGAAACAAGAAATGACATGTGCATGAAGTCAGAATTCAGAGAAACGGTTGAGTTGAGTTGACGGCAGTATACCTACCTACCTACAGTACAAAAAAAAGAGAGAAAAGTCAGAAGCTAGAAACACCACCCGCACCCGACCTTCCGAGTTCAGAATACCCATTTTGATAGGCTATAGGCTATACCTAAAACATACCTAGGTATACTTGTTTACCTGTTTTCACCTGAGGCTTTAACACACATGAACACACACACACACACACACACACATCAGCCGCTATGTAGGCAAACCTAGTACCTCTAGTCTAGACTGAATAGACTACACTACAGGTACCAAGGCACTAGTCGAAACGCAAGCCACCCACCGCAAGGCAAGAGCCTACCTACTGTACTTCGGCCCGCTTTCTCATAGCGGCTCACATAGCGGCCGGCGGCAGCAGCAGGCATGTAAGTGCACACATACACGCACATCACAGCCCAGGCAGCGGGACACGGCGGGCAGCGGGCAGCGGGAGACCAGCATGATGATTCTTTCTTTGGGTTGTGATCAGTGCAGGTCTGGTTCGGTCCTGAAATCGTCCGCAATCGCATCGCCTTGACCAGTTGGGCATTGGGCATGGGGTCTTCTAGCTAGGCTGTTAAGCCCTATCTGGTGGCGATCTGTACGTTTGAACGGGTGATGTACTTTAAGGGATGACTATTGTGTGATTAGGTTGCTGAAGTACAAGTAAACGGCTAAAGTATGTATCTCAGAAAGAAGATGATGAGATGATGTGGCACAGCGTGCAGTTTGTTGTTGTTGTTGTTGTTGTTGCTGTTGTACCCGGCACGAACCCTGATGGAGGTTCGGAGTATGACTTCTAAGACAAGATGATGGATGTTCCCGTCATCAGGGCATGCATGTCATTGAGATGGGATGCTGAAGTCCGAATTGCTTGCTGCTGCTTGTCATTTCGATTTGCTGATAAAAAAGCAAGGTGAAGGTGATTTCAGATTTCAGTCAAACGGTTCTTCCAATCCGCCTTGGCTGAAGATTTGCGAGTGTTCGCAGCGGTTCGCGGTTCGCGAATGAGGATGTAGATGATTATGTTGACTGGAAAAAGTGGAAGTTACAGACTCATGCCCAGCATGAAGCAAATGTCAAAGTGCTCAGCCTGAAGACCTGAAGTCCAGGGCCGTTATTCTTGTGATGATGTTTGTCTAGTTGTGGAGTGATATGATGTCGTGCGTGAGAAGAAGAAGAGACAAAGCGTTGGAGAAAACACAGCCGCCCTGGAAATAGCAACTGCTGCCCAGACCCCAACATTCATGGGCAGGGCTCAGGGGGCAGGCCTTGTCGCTGTAAGGTTTAGCCAAGGTACTTGGCGCACGGCATGGCCCCTAACCCTGGGCCACCCGGAAAGCTCGATCACTTTTGTTGGAACCACTAAAAACGCCATCCGATTTCTCCTTTCCCGCTGCAACGGTCCGCAGACGGGAGAGATGCCACCGCAGCGCAGGGACTTCTTTTGTTTTGTTGAATGTTTGGACATTCAATTACCCGATCTTAACGAGCTCGGTGAATGACCCCCATCAGATTAAATGAGGGATAGACGTCCGGAGGCCGGCGCCAATCCCCCGGTCCGCCCCCCGGACCGGACCCCATGGGATCCACTACGGCTTACTCCATACAGTAAGTTTAAGCTCCGTGCCCGGGCTTAACCCCGCATTCCAGTGCACGACCCCACAGTGACAGCGCGAGAGGAAACTCGAGGTTTGCATCATTCAACTTCCAAAAATGTCGTCCTTGTTGTTGTCGACAGTCCCTCTCAAAGCTTATTATCACCGCCATTGAAAAAAAGAAGACATACCTCGATAATGACCTAGCAATGCCAACTAACTGCAACTACAATGGCCGGTGTTCTTCCCCATTCCCCAGACCCCCACGCTTGCCAGTGACACCGGTTAGTCTCTCCGATAACATTCGGAGGTCGGATATGCACTCCTTACCTCGTAGGGCTACGGTAGGTTGGTAAATGAGCAGGTATGTCGCCCAATCTGACACTACAGAGAAGCTCCATGCAGAAAGGCTGACCGCGAGTACAGAGATAAGGATCAGAGTACCGGGGATTGATGATCCTCGATGGAGTCCGATGTACAGATGTCGCCATACGGCGGCTGCCGTCATGCCTCGATACATTCATTGTGTTGCCTGTCTCGCCGCTCGTCAGCGAACGACAATGGCACATGCCTTGCCTCTGGACAAACCCCATCTCAACGGGGAAACGCACGGTTGTTGCCGTGTGTGCAGGCTTACCGGTATGCTACTCTCGTCTGACTGGATCACTAAACGATATCTCCGACGACCGACATAAACGGTACCAAATCTCGTTTCATGGACTCGATATGACTAAGCTCTCACTCACTCTTTGGCATCTTGAGGGAACGATTCGATCTCGGCGCGGCGGTCAAGTTTTCAACAATCGTCTGTGCGGGTGAGAGTGAGTTGACGGCATGTAAACACTATGGAAATGTCTTCCGTACCAAGGCAATACTCTGTGATTCTTTGAGGTTCCTATGCTTCGTTTACTGGAGCGAGGCCCGAATATCACAGCATCTGAGAACGTACTGGTTCATCCCGCGCCGCCCACTTCGGCGTTATCCGTTCGCAGTCCGGAGCATGCGGATTCAGAAACCCGATGATGAATGCCGTGCTCCCTTGACAGGAAAAGGAAGCGGGGAAACGGTAGAATCCAAGGGTCCTACCAGTTCGTTCGCTTACGGAACATCACAAAACATGCTGATGATTTGTCCGGGGCCTCCTCCGATATTATTGTCTCGACTTGAGCCTCATCAGCTACCCTTTACTCAAAACAGCGCATAAGCACTCATCCAGATGGATCAAACAACAGTATTTGCCGCGGTAACACTGCCCTGACTCGGAACCCTACAGCTGCAGCCTGACTAGAAAGTTTGAAGGTCTGACTCGAAAGCAGGTATTCGAAATATGGCGAAATGGGCAGAGTCGCGCATGACGAACATTGAGCTTCACCGCGTCACGACATCCGCCCAATGGGGGACCATGGTTTATGGGTGGTCCGTCGTTGAACCGCGGAAGATGTTAAGCATAAAGGATCCATTACCGCTTGTCGCTAACGAAGTGGCTTTCCACTAGGCTGCTTTCGGTTGGCATTGCATTGATGGCGGTTTTTATCTCTACACCCTTCCCCACGCCGTACTTTTGCTCTTACACCCCCTTCCTTCTTACACCATCTAACAACCAGATTAAGTATGGGAATGGGAACGATGCCGCAGGAATCTGACATCCGTCCGTCAAGGTGCGATAAAATCCGACCCAACAGGCAAGGCTGCAACAATGATTGCTTCCAGAAGAACAAGATGTTGCAACGGCGGATTGTATTATCTGGTCGAACTCCTCGTGCAGGGACACTGCGATCCTACTCTACCATGCATCAGATATCGTAGGGTTGCAAGCGCTCCCCTATTCGACAGCCTTATCGAGGGCGGCCGCATCCCGTTTTCGATAAGTCCTTTCTCAAGGTGAGGGTACAGCATAGCCGGCGTTTTCTCCCCGCTTCAAGTGGGATGAGGATAACCGAGGGCTGACTGTCGAGGGACATGGCTTTTTCGGTGACGAAGTATCACCCACGCCCAGACAGCGGGAGGACGGTTCCTACGGGACAAAAGGCTCGCACATACCGATATCGACCCTGTTTCTCTCGTAACCACGCCGCATGGTGGTTCAGGACCCTTATTCTGGTCCCCTAACAAAAAGACCGCGAGTCAAAGGAACTGATCTGACCTGAGACGGTACACAAGATCATCGCAGTGCGGTTCTAGGGAGCTGGCCCTGATGGGTCGAGACTCCAATA